GATGGGATGCAAAAATCTCCTTTTTTTTGACTTTCCTATCTCAATTGTGATGTCAATCGGAAGGTTTTCTTATAGCCATTTGCTATCAGCGCATCTCCCTGAACATACTTGTAGCTGATGGCCAAAGTTTGCAACATCGGATTGCTGTATGCCAGACTATTTGCCGCACCCCTTCGCTACATGACACACTTGTGTTGTTTCACGGGTGGCCAGGCGACCAAGTCTGGATGGAAGGAAGGCTTTGAGCTGATGTGGATGTTAGTTGCTCGTAGCAATTGGTCCTTTGGATCTAGGAGCTTCCATTTGATCTTGGGTCCACACTGAGGTCATTACTGCCGTCGCTATGATGACCATGGAGTTTCTGCCAAAGGCCGAGAAAGGGGTAGAGAGGAGCTTGGGTCGTTTTCCATCTCGGCTCGACACTGCACTGGCTTCCCACGGAACCCCATTCATCCCATAGCGTCCCAGTTCGCCCACTTTGCATCAAGCTGTTCTGTGATTCTTGTTGCAGGCCTAAAATTGAATGTTGTATTCACTTCCACTAAAGCACAACTTGGGGGTGCCTCAACCTGCATTTGCCGATAGCTTCGACAATCCTGGCCATCTTGCCTCTTGCCATTGTCAGCTCACTAGCCTCTGCCCAGCTGTGCCTTTGTCAGGTGCCTCTGCAGATTTTCAAGGTGATCCCCTCGTCATTGATGGCGATCCTGATGGCCATCCTCTTGGAGTTCGCCGTTGTGCGGAATTGTGGCTCTCGCACCGCCACCATTGGTGATGTCAGCGATGCTTAGTTCATCTTATGCTCGGATTTAGATCATTTTATGATGTTCTGACCATTGCATCACATTTCTTAGTTTTAGATCAATCCCATTTCCGAGATCTATACAAGTCAGTCTTGCTTTTGTTTTCGTTCGGTCCCGGTCCTTGGCAGATCTTCGCAGCTCAGGAGTTCACTCGGGAGACGGCCTTCCCCATCCCCTTCTTCGTGAATTCACCAGCCACGGGCTATGACTTGCACAAGATCGTGGGCTCGTGGAGTGCCATTCAGAATATCATTGTCCAGGGTTTCCTTGGCATCAAAAGTCGGGCATTGGTGGAAGTATGTGGAAGTCGAAAGTGTTGGGCCGCACCAAGAGTCCAACAGTCTTGTTGGGTCACATTGCTAAAGGATTTTGTCTTTTGTTTGAAGTTGCCGGTCTGGTAAAAAGAAACCATGTCATGGCCTTATCGGACTACCAAGTCTCTAGCCCTGGCTGATGAGTGTCGTCCCTGTCCAACTCCTCGCTTTTTAATGCATTTTACTGTATATGTTTTTTT